AATCGTGTGTGTGTGTGTGTGTGTGTGTGTGTGTGTGTGTGTGTGTGTGTGTGTGTGTGTGTGTGTAGTATAATAATATAATAATAATAATTAATAATATATATAATAATAATAATAATATATATATATATATATATATATATATATATATATATATATATATATTTAAGCGCAAAAGGTTTAAAAATAAAATTTAATTATGGCAAGCTTCTTACGCGTTTTTCCATAGTCACCAAAGCATCCTTCTCAAAATATTCTAGGATAAGAGTGGCAGCTAGTTGTCTAACATCGAGTGCAGAATCCAGTACGAGTCTCAATAATAGGAACAAAGTCTCCTTATTAGTAAATGGCCAACTATTAGTGGTTTTTAAGTATTTTTCGATCACTGTGACATAGCGAAGACATTCCTTATGAGTATAACTCTTGTGCAAATTCTCATTCGTGAAAGAGAGTAAGGTCTCGTACAAGTTTAAAGCAAGTATTTTACGTTGATAACACGAGCCTATTTCGAAACAATCCAGAAAATATTCATGCACCCAATTCATGAACTCAGAAATAAATTGTATACAATCAGTATTAATTGCTTTTAAGATATTTGAGCATAAAATTCTGAAATATTTTATTATCCCTTCTCTCATGAGAATGGTTGCAGTATTAGCGTTATACCATAGAAATTGTTTTATCAGAAAAAATGGATCTATTTTATTAATGCCGATCAGATCAGCGGCGCGGTAACAAAGTACAGCGAAAGCATTCAATCGTATGATTTCTTCTTTATCATTTATGTAATGATCGATTTCGTGCATTTGCGGCAGCTCCATATGTAATTTAGCAGCCACTCTTTGTAAGTGCGAACGAAAAAAGTATCCCTGTGAATCATCACATAATTCCCACAAAAATGGCAGGATTTCTCTGTACATTTCAATAGTCGGTTCAAGCCAATATTTAAATAATGATTGAAGAGCATCGTGATTCTCACTGTAAAAAGAGATTTGCCATTATATCATACAAATTGTTAAATTATAAAATATATTCTTCGCATAAAGAAAAAAAAACATTAAATTGCGAATAATATATCACAAAGAAATTTTAAATTTTACAGTTTTCGAGAATATAATTTTTGTCTAAGAAATGAAAAAAGTAAATTAAGAGATTATTAATTATTATTAATTTATTATTAGAAAAAGTTGCAGAGAATTATTAAACTTACTGCTCTCCCAATTCCCAACGATGAATAATAAATTTCATAATTTCTCCGAACATGTTTTTCCATTCAGCTTCGCTTAATTTTCTTAAGATTACTAGATAAAGTTTTGTCCCGCCACAACGTAAAAAATTACTCGTTAAGCTAGTGCATAAATGAAGTAAAAAATCTTTCATAATTTCAACTTCTATGTCCCGTACATGAAAAATTTCTGCTAGAATAATATATTTTGTTTCATTTTGCCATGACATGTCTTTAAGACACAACCGGCATATACGATCCATAAATGTTTCCTTATATTTATATGACATTATTCGGAGATACGTGTTGAAAATTTGTGCATTTTGCTTGCATACATCATTCAGTGCATTGGACCAATTGGAGAATATGATAGCCTCTAATTTTCGTTCCAAGATACAATTGCTATCGTTCCAAAAGCGCGCGTCATATGTATTGTTCAATCTCTTCAACCATATAGATAATACCTTGTATGCGAAATAAGAATATCTTGTATATTTCATACAATTTCTATATATTATGTCAAACATAATTAAAAGAGCGTCATATTCAAAACATATTTCAGGACTATTTTTTTATTCATCTGCAGATATCCATAAGCATTCAGTAATTTGAATAATTCGAGATCGGAAACGGTGTACTGCTTCTCGAGAAAATACAAATTATGCGAATCCAATTTTTGAAAATATACTATGATGTTTTTGAAAGAGTTCAAATCGCATTGCGCAGAAAGCAATGCGTAAAATGCATGGCACGCTAAAAGAATGCGTTCGTTTCCCATTTCAGAACTGTTACTGATTATCTTTATAATATGCGCTAGAATCGTTTGCCATTCTTTCACGTTTTCGCCCATAGGATCGTGTAAAGGCGCGATACTTATCAATTTCTGGAAAAGGGGACAATTTATTAAAGCAAATGTAAAATACTAAACATTCAAATAATAAAGAGAATACTAACTCGAAAAATCGGTACATCATTTTCAGAGTTTTGCAATTCGTTGAATATATCCTGTGGTCCCATTTTTTTCATGAAGTTCCTGCTATTTTTCGTATAATAAAGATAATTTAATGTTTCTTCCGTGAGATCTTTATTGCAATATATCGGACAATATTAAAATAATATTTTTAATTGAATAAACTTTTATTCGCCATTTGTAAGTCAAGAACTTGACTCTTTTCATCACACTGCTTCAACAAATTGGATTTTTTGGAACTTTGCATCCCACCATCGAGACGACATATCCTGCAAATAAGGCAAATAATAACATTCTCAGGAAACATTAATTAAGCAAAAAAGAAAGAAAAAAAGAAAAGCCGATTTGTAAAAGTAATCAAGTTATAATTAAGACCGCAAAATAAAAGCTGTGTGACGCGAGAAAAATTTAAAAATCTTTCATAAAAATATTAATAGTTAAAGTATAGTGTAAAAGCCTGCGATCGGAACAACTACTAGATTAGAGTTTAGTATATTCGAGATTATATTCTGATACGTAAAAATCTGAGAGAAAACGAATAACTTCAGAGCTCCTATAAAATACTGGTTAAGGATAAGAGAATGTTGCAATAAAAATCATAATCTTGTTATTTTTAAGCATCTTATTTATTACAATTCAACAGATAAAAGACAATAATGTAAAGTCAAAAAAAATTCGTATGAATAATGTATGAAATTAATTTGTTTAGTTAATATTGATAGTTCATGAATTGCTATGAATGTAATACAATCGATAAATTAGTATTTTATGTTTCTTTTGACTCTTCAGGAACGTACTCTCCCTGCTCTATTTGCTCTTTGAACTTCAAGTAATCTCTCTTACGATCAAAGTGTTTCACCTGCGTAACAGTTGCATAGAAAACTTGTTAGATAATAAAAAAAAGTTCTAGTTTTTATCAATATTAAAAATACACGAAATTTATAAAAATTCTTTAAAAATGTCGTCAAGGGATATTATTTGTAACACTTACCCATTGAGATGGGCAGAATTTTTCATATTGTTTCCTAAATTCCATACATTCTGCTTCAGATTTGTTTTTGTCAAGGCATTGCCAATATTCATCTCTACGACTCCAGCAATTCAGACGATCTTCTTTGTTTGGAAAAGACATTCTGTAATATAAGAATATAAAAAAATATTAAACATATGTTCATCATTTTTCATATTATTACTTATCTTGTAACTGCATCTTAGTTTTTGTTTATATAAAAATGTATGTATATAATAAATTTAGACACTACTAATTATAAACATATAACATACATTTTTATATGTATAATATATATGTTTAATATAAATAATTTGAATTAATTTTCACTAGTAATTTTAAATACTATTTCAACACTAATTTTGTGATAACAGATAACATGTGATAATTTAATAATAATAGACATAATAATTAATATAATAATTACATATAATAATTGTGTAGTTATAAGAGCAATGTGACACTCAATTAAGAAAATTCAATATACTTACCTATAATATTTATTCTTTGTACTAAAGCAATTCTAGCAAAAATTCACTCACTCACTTTTAAATTACTAAAGTTAATGTCTCAACAAAATGTAAAGTTGTAAAATAAAATATAATAAAAACAAATTATTTAATTATTTCAAACAATTTATCTCAAATATAACAAAACTTTAACAATATAAATATAAATTTTTATAAAAAATATTTTTATAAAGAAAATACCTTTAAAATTTTAATAAAAAATAATCAATTAACACTTTCCTAAATGTAAATAATATTGAAATTTAAAACACATTAAATAAGTTTTTCAGTAATATTTCATTTTTAATTTAAATATAAATAAAAAATTATTTATTTAGTATTGTTTATTCTTATAAGAAAAAATTATAAATGAAAAATATAAATATAATGTTAAATATCGAAAAAATATCCTAATATTTACAATCCAATATATTAAAAAATTCAAATAAAAATTCAAATTAGTAAAAATTATATCTCATATGTGCTTATTTCAATATTTTTAAAATTAAATTATACAACAGTAAATATTGTATATGTAATGAAATCAAAAAATTTAGAAAATAAATAAATAAATACAGCATACATTTCGTTAAGGAGGTCACATAGATTCTCGTTACTATTGCTCACTAACGAGCTCTCTAGTAAAGTGAACTTAAAATTTATTTTTGATCGTGCAAAAATAGATTTTCGAAAGCACGTATCATGATCCGCGATTACGTAATTAACTTCAAAAGAAAAATTACACAAACTTAGTAAAAAAATTAAAAATTATAAATGTAAATTATAAGTGTCATTATATTAATCCGATTATAGATAAAAATATTTAGGAAAAGGTAAACTCATTTTTTACATATATAGTACGCGTATAACCTTAAAATTTTTTCTCAAATATTACGCAATTTTGGCAGATTCATTCGAACATTGTAACGTGTTACATATAGAATGATTTTCCTTTTCTTGGAAAAAAACACTAATATGCAAATTTACTGAACACGTGCTCGTAAATATTTAAATTTACAGATCGTGAAAATTCAACTAACCTGAATCTTAATCGTACTAACGACGTGAGAAATAACAATATTTCGTGCTATCTCGCTATAAAGCAATCATTTATTTCCTTTTGTTTAGTTCTGCGATTCAATTTAAGTAGAGAATTAATATTCGCTATACTGTCAATGATTCCTAATCAGAAACCACTTGTCATTCATTGGGCCGGTTTCATTCGTCCTACATGATCTAACCTGTATAATCTATCTCATTTGTATAAATTTTATTCCTTCTTTTGTAAGTAACAACGTAAGATTTTTGATAATTGTTTGACAATGCATTTTGACGTTAAATTTAAAATTATGAATTTAGAGAATTAAGGAGAGATAATTAACGCATGAGATTAAAGGAGTAATCAGATCTGTTTTCCAATTATACTTTCTATACTTTTATATACTTACATTGGCTGCGTTCAGCAGAGAAAGCAGATCAGTGAGCGCTCAGTGATTTTCAATATGATTTTTCTATTGGTCCTTGCCTTTAGATCTTCGTTGAATGTAAGTGTAGAAACCAATCATAATAAAGAATCACTAAACGCTCACTGATCTGCTTTCTCTGCTGAACGCAGCCATTAGTATGTTCCTTTTGTGCTTTCATATCGTGAACATGTGTTCGCTTGAGAATGTTCGTTTATTCATTGGCTACGTTTAACAGAAAAAGCAGCTTTGCAACTGTGTAAAGTCCTTTAATACGATTGGTTTATACATTTAGATCCATGAGGAGATCCAATCCTATCATAGATTTTTACAACAGTTGCAAAGCTGCTTTCTCTGCTGAATGCAGCGATTGGACATATTAAAATATTAAAAGTACGCTTTATGAGGGAACCGAAACTTTACATATATGCATGTGTACGAATAAGTCAAGTAGATGCGAACTTAATCTGTGCGAACGTATTCAGAAGTCATCATGAATCCTGATCTGTTGTTATTAATAATATGGAAGCGATGGCAAAAGTGGAAGAAGATGAAACAATCTTAACAACATAAAATTAGACGATATAATATATTAAAATTGTTTGGAATATGGAAACTGATGATATACCAACAGGAAAAAGCTCATCATAGAATGTAGGTGCATTCGATATTCGCGAAAGATTATTACAAGGTGACAATCTGACAATCAAGTAAAGAAATGGAATTTGAAGATTACGAAATGTTCTATAATTATTGTAGAATGTCTATAGAAATGTTCAATCAGTTGTTAGATATTGTTGGGCCACGCATTAAAAAAACATTATAAATTAATTATATATATATATATATATATATATATATTATTATTATATAATCGATATGAAGCTATTTAATTAATTATTATTATATTAATTAATAACTTACTCTGATTTGATCTTATTTATTTGCTGAAAAGTTCTAATTATTCTGATTATTCTCTATATGTGTGTAGTTTCTTCCAAAAAAAAAATTAGATTAGCGTAATAATAATAGCATAAACAGCATAAAGTAACTAGACGGAATCTGATGTTCAAGTGAAACGATGTGATTGGCGCAAGTTATGCTTACGCAAGTTACGCCGCATGTAACGGCACCCTTAGAGGACAATTGTGTTTCTGACTGCACCAATTAATTTCAATTAAATATTTGATATTCCGATAGGTGATCCACTGAAAAATTCCCAAACACTATTCGATAAATGGATGTAAGATCGAAATGTTTTGCGTAGGAGAATATGCGTAACATTTCTGATTGGCTATTATATTCATATATTTGATGTTTTCTTTATGTATGCTCCACATGAACTACATGGGATCAATTATATTTTTTGAAAAGAGATAAAAATTACAAAAGTAAGAAAATTTAAAGTATCTATGACTTCATATGTAAAAATTTGGAAATTCCTCATTTTTGTAATTTTGTCAAGTACACATTCGACCTCCTTGGCTTCGCCATCATCACAAGAGAAATTTTTTGCGATCACGGTGTATGCATGCATACATAAAACGCACGTCTCGGAGCACCTCGAATCGGAGTATTAACGAAATAGCGAAGTGAGTGCGCGCGCACACGAAAGACAGAGAGAGAGAGAGAGAGAGAGAGAGAGAGAGAGACGTATGTGTCTCGTGTGTGTGATCGAAGTGTATGCTATTCTGCGGTGCAAGAAAAGGAATAAGAGTAGTCGTGTTCCTCCGCACCGAGGGCCGACGGCCGGGCGATGCTTGCATATGTCTAGGTTCGGTGATATTCAGGTTTGGTGTGTCAAACAGGTGAAGAAGGCGGCTATTGCCGCCGTTACCATTTCCTCCCCCTCCTCAACAAGCTCCACCGTCGCTGCTACTACCACCGCTACCACCGCCGCCGCCACCGTCACCGCCATCGTCGCTGCCGCCGTCGTCGCCGATCTTACGGCGGTGTTGAATTACGAGAACGTAGCCAAGCGCTGCAAGCTGGCTGCCGTGAGCATAACGCATCCGGACGAGATCGACGTGATCAGGGGAAACGAAATCATCATGGCGGACATAGCGGCTGCCACCGCCGCCGTCGCTACCGCTGCTGCGAATGACACGCAGAGGCGGGCCAATTTTTCGGCATTGCCAGGCAATCCGAACGGCGTCAAAATCTCGAGCCTCGCGAACGCAAAACCCGGCTCCGCGAAAAAGCTCGTCATCAAGAATTTCAAAAGTAAGCAACAGGACGCAGCGCGTGAATTGATTCCGACCTAACCTCAAACGTCAGCTGCTGCATCCCACGAGAGTAGCAGATAACGGCATTGTTTCGATTTTAATTCTCGTTCTTTGTTTCCTTTTTTTTTTCGTTTTCTGATTGTTTTTCTTATACATTCCGAACGCAGTCTCTAATCGTTTGACGCAATTTATTTCGTGAATTTAGGTATGGGAAAAGTCCTCTGGCAAAACGACATAACCTAATTCATAAATCGAGATAATTCGACAAATCGGCCTTCCCGGCATATTTCACGTCATCAAGTATCGCAATTGTTGCATTTAATTACAACGTTTGATGGTATTTATATGGAAAACACACTGATGCGCAATAAATGTCTATTTATAGATGATACATTGTTACAATAATGCAACAATGTGGGAATTTATAAATGGAGACTTTGACTTGACATTTCGCCTTTCTCGCGTCTATGTATAACGCGACGTAATAATTACATGATCATTAAACAATATTAAAAAGCAATATTTTAAAATTAGGATCAAATAAAGAATTTAAGGATTTTTTTATATACATAAAAATTTATATTGTATACAACTATTATATATTGTATAAAATTTCTCATTAGTTTTTATAAAATTTTTTAAGAAAAGCCTCTAGACAAAGCTTGAATGTATCAAACTTTATTTTGTTACTTTATTTATTTCTCAATGTAATAATACTTTTCTTATAGATAAACCTAAGCTACCAGAGAACTATCAAGAACAAACATGGGAAAAATTACAGGAGGCTGTGGTTGCGATACAAACCAGCAAAAGCATCCGATATTCTTTAGAGGAACTTTATCAGGCAGTTGAAAATATGTGTAATCATAAAATGGCATCAACACTTTATACAAATTTGACTATTCTGACAGAATCTCACGTAAAGGCTAATATTGAACAATTTCTGGCCGAATCTATGGATAGACATATATTTCTAAAAAAGATGAATGAATGTTGGCAATCACATTGCAGACAAATGATAATGATCAGGAGCATATTTCTCTATCTCGATAGAACATATGTTCTACAAAACCCGAGCATTTCATCGATATGGTAATGAATGTTGTTGAAGATAAATCTCATAATCAATTTTTATATATTTCATTCTTGTTTCAGGGATATGGGACTACATCTATTCAGACTTCATATTGTATTGAATAATTTAGTGCAAACACGTACAGTTGAAGGTCTTCTCATGCTCATAGAAAAGGAACGACAAGGTGACACTGTAGATCGAACACTTCTCAAATCGCTATTAAGAATGTTGTCGGATCTACAAATTTATCAAGAAGCTTTTGAAACAAAGTATGTTGATTTTAAAATTATTTCTCTTGACACAAAATATTGAGTTTTATTAATAACAAACTACTTTGCCAAATATGAATTTATTGTATATATCATTTGTTTTTCTATTATATTTTATTTGTTACTATCAATATTGTTACTATTAATATTATAATATGTATCAATATTATAACATGACTTTTAATGTACAATTTATTTTTTTATTCAGGTTCCTACTGGCTACAGAAAGATTATATGCTGCTGAAGGTCTGCGATTGATGAATGAACACGATGTTCCTGAATATCTGGCTCATGTGGATAAACGTTTGCAAGAGGAAAACGAGCGACTGTTACATTATCTCGATACATCAACTAAGTAAGTTTTATTAATATCATATATGTAATTTTAACATATTAAACAAATATTAAACAAATATTAGAGGATGAATTAAATTTCATGTAACTAAATAATTCATGATATTCTTTTCAGATGGTCACTCATACACACTGTAGAAAAACAATTATTGTCTGAACATATTACTAGTATTTTACAGAAAGGCTTAAGTGGATTGTTGGATGAAAATAGGATTAGTGATTTATCATTACTTTACAACTTATACAGTCGGATAAAAATGGCCTTGTGGAGCTTTGTTTGAATTTTAATTGTTATATCAAAGTATGTTTTTTTTATTAACAGTCAATCTTTTATTTATTTATATATAGATATATATAT